TATTATTATTATTATTATCATATTTATTATTATTATTATTATCATTATTATTATTATTATTATTATTATTGTAACTTTTATCATTATTATTAATATTGTTATTACGATTATCAATATCATCATTATAATCGTTATCATGATTTTTATCAGTATTATTATCATTGTAATTATCTTCATTATGATCAGTATCATCATCACCTATTAACATCATTATTATTTCTTTATCATTATTATTATCAATTGATTTATTACTATAATTATTGTTTTTACTATTACAGTTATCATTATCATCATTATCATTATAATGTTACCATCAATATTATCATTGGCATTATAATTATCTTTATCATTAATAGAGATGTTAGAAATAATAGTAATCTATATGAATAATGAAACAAATAAGAATAATATAAAATAATGATAACAATAGTAACAATTGATGTAACTAATTAAATAATGACATCGATGAACATATCAAAGTGATGATGATAATGATGATGATGATAATGATAATAACAATATAGCGATAATAGTAATGATATGATAATAATCCTGATGATGATGATACTGGCAATAGTAATAATATAAATATGTAATGATAACTAAAATGATGATATGGTAATAATAACAATAACAATAATGATAATAATATTTTGTTACTGATATCATTATCATCTTTATCATTATTATCTTATGATTACTTTATTATCATTATCTTTACTCAGCATCATCAGTATTGTTATTATCATTAATGTCACTATCATTCCCATCATTATCATCATTGTTATCATTATTGCCGCTGTTATCATTATCACCATAATTATTATTATTATTATCAATAATGATATTTGATAATCATTATCATTTTTCATTATCATCATCACTATTATCATTACTTATCATTTTCATCATTTTCATCATTCATCATCTATTACATCATCATCATTTCATCATCATCATCATCATCAAGATACTAATGACAATAATAATGATGATAGCAATTATCATTAACATTATTATTTGTAGTACTACATTTTATCATTATTATTATTATTATTATTATTATTATTTTATTATTATTATTATTATATTATTATTATTATTATTATTATTATTATCATTATTATTATTATTATTATTATTATTATTATTATCATTATTATTTTATTTTATTATTATTATTATTATATTATTATATTATTATTATTATTATTAATTATTAATTATTATTATTATTATTATTATTATTATTATTATTATTATTATATTATTATCTATATGTGATTATCATTATTATCACTATTGTGATTATCATTACTACTATCACTATCATCATTTATTGTTATCGTTATAGTCATTATCATCATCATCATTATTATGATAATTGTTAAAGCTATCATTATCATAATTATCATCAATCGGTATTACTACTGTTAGTTAGTCATCATTATTATCATTATTGGCCGCTACCACTCTCTCACTCTCCCCTTTCACTTTCTCTCTCTTTCTCTCTCTCCTCTCTCTCTCTCTCTCTCTCTCTCTCTCTCTCTCTCTCTCTCTCTCTCTCTCTCTCTCTCTCTCTCTCTCTCTCTCTCTCTCTCTCTCCCTCTCCCTCCCTCTATCTATCTTTCTCCCTCTCCTTCACTCTCTCTCATCACTATCTATCTCTTCTTTAATCTCTCTTTCGCTCTCCCCTCGGACGTTCCTTTTACTATCCCTTCTCTCTCTCTCCCTCGAAGATGACCTTCCTTGACCCCTTCTTGACCTCCAGGAAGTGACGACGCGTTGCCCTGACCTGACCCATCACCAGTTGACTCCCCTCGGTCGCTTCCCCTTGTTTGTTCAGCGTTCCCCTCACGTGCCCAGGGGTGAATGAAGGGGGGGGGGGAGGGGGGAGGGGAGGAGAAAGGGAGGGGTAATTGGGGGAGGGTAGGGGTTATGGGGAGGGAAAAGCAGGGGGTAATTGGGGGGGGGAGGGGGAGATGGTCAGTGGCGGGATGGGTAGGGGAGAGGGTAGTAGAGAGGGGGAGGGAAGGGGGGGGGGTAAGAAGGAGAGTTTGTAAGAGGTGGAGGGGTGGGTAGGGGGAGGGAGTGGGGGGGTGTTGTAAGAGGAAGGAGGGGAGTTGTTAGTAGTGAGGGGGGGTAGCAAGGACAAAGGGATGGGGGGGGGGAGGTTGCAAGAGACACGGGGGTGTAGATTTTAGGGGCTTGAGGCTATAAGAGGTTGGGGGGGGTCATAAGATATTTTTTACTCTATTTCCATATCCTCGTTATTATTATTTATGACATTCATTATTTAGATCCATACTGATTTATTATCATTATAGTCTTGACTAAAATCATTATTACTATTTTATCATTAATCATTATCATCATATCATTTATCCATCATAATCATTATCAATGTCATCATTTAATTACATATTATTTTATATTATTCATTTACTATTATTCGTTCTATCATATCATTATTATTATTATTATTATTATTTCATTATTC